ACTTTTATTAGCGAATTATTCGAATCTATATAGAGATAACTAAAAATTATACTTTTATTCTTAAAAACACTGTGAACGCGCTTCAAGATTGGTCAAATCAATGTTTGTTTATGTCCCATCTAAACCAATTGCAAAGTCGTTTTAATTAAACTGAGTGGAACAACTACTTTTGGAAAGATTAAACGGGGGAAAAAGTACACTGGGTAACATAACAATCGAAAAAGACCTCAGGTAACCGTCAACCATGATCTTGTGATCATATACAACATTGTGTTAACACAGTGATGAACATGTCTAAGTTTTCACTAACTATATAGTGTAACAAGAGGTCACATGTAAGCAGCACATTTATACATGGCGAAGCAAATTCTTATTTGCCAATTGTCCGAGAACTGTTAGACGCTGCCTGATTGTCCTGTTGCAGACGTTCCGAACTAGACATTGATCGTCCTGCATCCATAGTAGAGTAGTTTGCGATGACTCCCGAGTAAGGCAAATGAAGCGTGAAAATCTCGTAGGGTAGATAAGGCGTCGTAAGGAGAAAAGAAGTCAAAATTTGAAAATGAAGAATGGGAGAAAAACTCAATAACAGAGAATGTATTAAAACTACCTGTGGTAGGACCCCTTCGCGGACCATTCCAAAGCGAACAATAACCATTGAATGGTTGACTGACAAGCGAATTGAATTGTAAGCTTAGACTCATACTTTTCAAATTCTGGAGAAAGACGTACACATATACGCCCGAAACGTAAAGAGGCTTTCTAACTATAGTCAGATAGATTCAGTGACTGTTAGGTGTTTGGTGTATTATAGTCAATTTTATTATCATTCTGTACGAGTTTGCTCCCTTTAATCACTATCTATGATAAAGCTCCTTTTCAATTACATACTGTTATAGCCTAGGTTCCGTTAATTTCACTCGCCTATATATCAACCGCGTGCGGATAGGTGAGATTGTCTCTGTGAATTGTTGTAATCTAAAGATTTGTCGTTAACCTTACTTTACTATTCGAACACCTATTCTAATGTCTCATTTTCAGTAATTTTGATGTATTTAGTTCTTGATTAGGTAACATTACATTTTGGTAACTTTCAGAAGTGTCTGTGACATGTCGCGAGAGACGTGCCTGTGTCATGTCATTTGAAGTGAACATGCTCGGAGGATAGCACTTGAGAAATGGCTTAAAGTTTATTACCTTTTCAATTATAAGACCTTTAGTGATGGTTTCTATGTGCTGACGGCTCATAGCTCACGTGGAGAACGTTGTATGTCCGGAATAACTTTGGAGCATGTTAGCAGCGAGGCCGCCTCGCTGTACGCCGGCACATCTCGTTTATACTTTTTTTTTTATGAAAACTACATGTGAAGCACAAAGAACGCAAGTAGTGACAGTGATAAATTATTTAATATAAAGGAGTTTAAACCCATTTTGACCAGCACGTGTCTGTAAATGTTAATTGTTATTCTGTCATAATACATTGTTGAACTTTAATTTCATTGTCACCAGTCGTCTGTATATTTGGAACAACTGTTTAACACTGGAATCTTTAAGCGGAAGCGCCAGTTAAACTCTATTAGGGTGTAGCTTGGGGCGAGGGTCGGCGGTGCAAAACGGTACGATTGTATGGAAGGGGATCACCGCCATAATTATTTTTTATAGAATTAGTTACTTCTGGTTTTGACTCTAATTCTATGTACATTTGTATTATTGCCCTAGTTGATAAGTTATAGAATTAGTTACTTCTGGTTTGGAATCTAATTCTGTGTACATTTGTATTATTTCTCTAGTTGATAAGTGTCTATTTTTCCATGCTATGTACATTTGTGTTGTTTCACTCGTTTACAAATCTATTGCGTGTTCATTCCATGCTATGCTAGTTTTACCGATCGCGTCTAACCGGGAATGCAATTGAACCCTGCCACAACTTTAACCTTAAAAGGGAATTGCATATCTGGGTAATTGTAAATGCTGCATAAATGTTCAGTGTTGCAAACTAAATATATTTGTCATTATATTAGAGCAATTAAAGGTTATTTATTTGATTTGAATTATTCTGTTAGAAATATATAACCATTCACAATTGTATAATTTACCACAGAATTAAGTCTGTGAATTTACTAAATTTTGACATGGACTTGTCTATGAAGCAGTGGATATTGATGACAGCACGTTTTTGTTGGGTTTGAAAGTATGTATGATTTTGTTTCAATTGAACATTCTTATCAAAAACTCCTGTTTCATTGGTATGGACAAAAA